TAGAGCTAATTAATTTCGATCACTGTAGGACCATTAAAAATGAATGATAATATTCAAAAGAGGTAAGTAGAAATTTTTAATATGATGGGGTCAGAGAGCGACATCGACGATAACAACAATAGAACACATTTCTCTTGTCTCTCAGAATATTCTGGAATTCGCGATGCATATAATTAAATGTTTCTTATTCTTGTTCTCGCTTCTAACATTTAAAGTATTTTTATTATTTGCTGGAGTACAAGGAGAAATAATGTAAAAAAAATTAAGGCCCACAGAAATATAGTCCAGTTATTCTTTTTTCTTTTTTAGCGGTAACTATCGTCGACTTTTATCGCCCGTGAGGTCTGTAGATTGTACAAATGTTTACACGAGTGCAAAAGAAGAAACGAGTAATTAAACTAAAGAACCCACGCCATTGTTAGAGTTACCGAAGTCCCCCATTTACGATTGTTACTGCTTTGTTTTTTACATAATTTCAAATACTACATAACATTGTCGTTAGCAATAAATATGGATGTATTGAAGTTACATGTTTTGGCCATAAATGTTCAACCCATAATTTTATTGTTAAAAAAAATTTTAAATGGTTTATAGTACTTCGCTGAAATTGAAAATCTAAATGACGGCAACCCTAGTCAAATCATAACGCAAAGCAATCACTAATTATTAATTGAGTTTTTTTTTCATTTCAAATCAAGAATTTATATAGATTAACAAAACAGTTTGGCGTTAAGCGAATTTTTTTATTGGGAATCAATATTTATTTGAGTTCGATTTCTGAAACTTTTTCATTTTACTTAAGTGGAAAATAAAAAAAAGAATAAAAGAAAAAAAAAAGCAGAATTTGTATATACAAAGAAAGAGGGAAAATAGTGGAAACGATAAAAAAAGCGCGTGAATAGTTTGCGGCAGTAATCTCACTTATTTGAAATCAACTTGAAAAAGTAGTAGTGTGCGTGCGAATTGGTAGTTATTATATGAGAGCACCAAATAAAATGGACGTAGAAAAAGCCGTTAATAACGACCTAGATAGAGAGTCTTCAGGGACTGTACCAAAAAAACGCGGGCGTCCCTCTAAACCGGATACACCAAAAAAAATTCCGACTGGTCGCGGTCGAGGTCGACCAGCAAAGAAAGCCGGAACTATTCCAGCGAAACCGGTCGCAAAAATTCATAATGACGATGTTTCTGAAGAGGATGAAGGTACTTCTGGTGATGGCCCCGTAACTGTTAGCCGGGGTAGACCATCTAAACTAAATAAACCAAAGCTTCGCATTGAGGCAACTGGTAAAGGTCGCGGACGGCCAAAGAAAATGCCTAAGCCTGATGAAGAAGACGATGATGATGATCGCCAATTGAGTAATTCTAAGTCTGCAAGACCATCACCGAAGAAGTTGACAGGTCGAGGACGTGGTCGGCCTAAAAAAATTAAAAATAGTGAAGATGAGAGTAAATAAATATGAATAAAAAATTGTAGCACTAACAATGTGCTAAAAATGTTTACTTTTTTTCATGTCGACTTAGGCTCTGACGACAAAAATGATGATGAAGAGGAACGCCGAACAGTTGGTCGGCCCCCTACCGGCGGAGTGAATCTAAACATAGAGCGTACAGGACGTGGCCAAGGCCGTCCTAAGAAAGGCGTTGCTGTAAAACGGACCGCGAACGGCGATAGCGATATCTCAAAAAAACGAGGACGGCCTGCAGCTTCTAACAAACAATCGTACAAGCCGACGGGAAAGCCACGTGGACGTCCAAGCGCCAATAAGAGCGGTGCCGTTAATTCTCAGGACGAGGATGACAATAAATCTGATGATGATGATATCAACAAGTCGAAAACTGCGGATGATCTTAGATCCTATCTCGTTAGCGATGATGACAAAGATAACGATAATGATAAAGATAACGACATTGATAATGAAAACGACGATGATAATGGTAATGATAATGACGATAATGAGAACGAAAACGAGGTATAATTCAATGAAGTACAAATAATTTAGTAAAACGATATATAAATCACTCTTTCATTGCAGGATTGAAGGATGCGTGTTTGTCGGAGAAGTGAAAATTAAAAGGAACATTAATTATAACAAGCTCCTACACATTAGGAGTTAATTAGTTTAAGATATATTCTACTTTAAGTATTTTCATAGATTTGTTTTTTCATATATCCACTATGTGCTTTCTTAAATGTTTAAATAATAAGATGTGCTCCTTAAAACAGGAAAATATAAAGAGATGTCAACTGAGATCGAAAGCGTATAGTACGTTAAGGTTACGTTTTTTTTTCTTAGTTTTTTCGTTTCATACCATCTGAATTTTTTACTATGTAGTTGAAAAATAAATTATATCATCAATTAGAAAAATAATTAACAATTTTTTAAAAATACAAATTTTGCTTGGTGGGGACAAAATAAAGTCGATTGGGCTTTTATTACAAGATGCCTAGATTCATTGCAAATATCCAAATAGAATAAGTGAGACTTGATTTCCACTGCCTCCAGCATGTTTCACTTGAAAATAAAAGTTGAAACTTCTCAGAAGAGTTTTAAATAAAACTGTGAGCTATTTTTCTTTTTTTCCCACGCAAAACTATTGCTATGAAACTAGAAGTAATATTTAAACGAAACTGTAAGTAATTACTAAAGCAATTACGAATTGAGAAAATAGTTCTCATTTTCAGCACGGGTTAAAAACTTTCATCCCTTTAATCTATAATTTGGTAATCATATAACTACAATTTTGTTTATTCTTAGATGTGGCAATACTGCTTGCGATTTTTGCCGAGAAAAATTGCAGAGCAGCGGAAAATCTCTTATGTATATTTGTGCAAAAGTTTAGGAAAAATTTTATCTTGCATCGAAGCGTATGTAAATTGTCTTTAAATATTTTGCAAATGTAAATTAAATGTGTACAGAAAATAGTATTAAAATAAATTTAAGCGAAATATTACGTGTAAATCTCGTCATGTAAAAAATTCATTCTAAAAAAGGTGTGTGTGAGTGCATTTTTTTTTCTTTTCTTTCAAGAATACTCCTTGAAAAAGGAAATATTAAAAAGAACAAACGCTAAGAATACACTCCCCGAAGCAGACAGTCGCAAGGCAAACAATATAATTAACGAAACAGAAAACGGAGATGTCGCGTATATATGTATATATGAAAATACGCGTCCATTAAAAATACCGCTAATAAGTAGTGAGTGTAAACAATTATAGATATTTGAATTTGTTTTTTTTTTTTTTTTTTTTTTTTAAGTTTTAAAAATTTTAAATTTTTTTTAAAAGTTTTTATAAAAAAAAATTTTTATTTTTTTTTTTTTTTTTTTTTTTTTTTTTTTTGCTTAAAGGTTAATAATCTTCACTTGTTTTGAAAAGGTTTTCTAAACAAAACTTGTGATTGTTCGTCTCTTTTGTTGTTACTTCTATTTTAGCTTTATGTATGCGAGAGTATAAAAAAGATCTTTTAAAAATAGCGTATAATAATAATAATAATAAAAAGAACAACAATACACAAACGTATTAATGTACATATATTTATATATAGGTGTATATATGTATAAATATATGTATGTATGTGTGCAACGAAATGCCGCAAACAAAAGGAACATAATCACATAAATTCATAGGCTTGCACACATTTACGCATGTTTACATAATTAAAAAAGAAGGCTTTATTGTTTGCATAAACTTATCGAAATCATTCTGGGAAAAACGGGCTTTTGTGCTAAAAAGATTTTCAAAGATTTCAACAATTTTTGTTAATTAATACATGTTTGAACAGAGGGTTATTGCATTTTTTCTTTTAAACGTATTTTCCGTGCGTATTTGTAAGAGATGTTGTCTCTTTCGTACATTTGCAAATGGTCAGTTGTTACGAACAGCGTAGTGCTTACAAGTCGTTAACAAACAGCGTTGTATTTTTCTATAAAAGAGTGCATATAACGACCAGATATGGGTTAGATTATAATTGCCTTGGCTTCTTTTATGCTGAAATGTATTCTAAAGCAATGTAAAAAGTACAAAAGATCAAGATCAGATGGCAGTTAAGGTACCTCAAAAAATGTTGGCGATAGTTTGAGTAACTGAGTTAGTATATAAACTAAAAATTTTTAAAATAAAACTTGATTCATAAAAAAATTAATTTGATATTGAATAAATAAGAAGATTATATGCGGCTGTGACCGAATTTTTGATAACTACCATTTCCAAAATGGAAATGGTTATTTAGCGCTAACTCTATGATGGAGTAGTTGGTTTTTTCCAGTTTTCACATGTAGAACATATTTAGAAATTATTATATTTATATTGTAGTAAATTGTGAGGAAAAATGAGGAAAAATCCCACTTTTTTCTTTGTATTTGAAGGCAGTTGTCTCCTGTTTACCCTATAGTGGGCGCTTACCATTTAAATGATATAGAGACTTTTCAATATGATATTGTGGCCATGAATTTTCAAACATTTTGTTATCCTTGGAGCCACTACTCTAATTTTTGCGGACTGTTTAGTGCAGGTATTATACGGTGTCGAATGAGCGGACATATACAGATCAATTCGTAATTTGGTACTGTGTGAAAATATAATTAAGAGATATTTTCAGTTTACTTGTGGCCTTGTGCGGTTGCAAACTTTTTAACAAAATGAATGCGTCCTGTTAGACATATACATATATACACATGAATATATATATATATATTGCATAGTATATACTTATTATGTACGTATACATATATACGATAAAACTAAATTTTTTAATTATATATATAAATTTTATTATTTATTGTGATATATTAATTTTATTATTTATTAATACATGTAATAAAATTAATACAATTTTGTTAACATATGTGTATATATATATTAAATTTATTATATGTTTATATATTAATTTTAGTATATATTTATATATTAATTTAGTATATATTAATTTAGTATATATTTATATATTAATTTAGTATATATTTATTTAGTATATATTTATATATTTATTTAGTATATATTTATATATTTATTTAGTATGTATTTATATATTTATTTAGTATGTATTTATATATTTATTTAGTATGTATTTACGTATTAATTTTATTATTTACATAATTTTTTTTAATTATTTGTATATATTTTACTATTCATACCTTTATTTTACTTCATATATGCACAATTTATATTCTCAAATGCAGCGAATGCGAACGATTTGCCACAATTAGTTCACAAATTATACTGTAAATTTAAAAAAAAAAAACTCCTTCGAGCCGGATTTGAACCAGCGACCTATGGATTTCTACTTTGCATTTGACACTTCTACAGTCCACCGCTCTACCAACTGAGCTATCGAAGGCTTATATGTTTTGGGAACATTTTTCGTATAGATACAATGAGCTACGGAATAAGTAAAAGTAGTTTCCTGCAGAAATTCAAACATCATTTCTTATAAAACTGCGTAGATATTTTTAATTTGTTTCATCTTCGTTAACAATTCTTTGAAGCAACTATATATAACTTACGGAAAAAAGAAATATAGCAATCTTATAGATCCAATACTCTCTGCAAATAGTATTACTTGCATTATTAGCACCATTAGTGGGCTGCATAATTTTACCTTCCGACTATTGAAAAAGAAAAGTGCTTGAAAATATAAAATTATAATGAGAGGTAAGGAAAAAGAACCTTTTTTCGATATGCCTCTCATTCACTACAGGTGATGCTTTACCACGTTCTTAAACAGTCTTAAACACTTCCAAACACTTCAAAATAATAGCAATTCAACATCAAAACCTTATTAAGAGAAAATCTAGCCTGTCTTTTCATACATAGACTTCAATACGTATATTTGGGATTTATAATTTAAACAAAGTCGACAAAATCGAATAATTTCGAATATTTAACATTGCATTGACTGTATTTTGTTTAATAACAAATTGTGTTTATTATAGATATCAAAATGTGTGACAATTCGTTTTTCTAAAAAGGGATATTGCGGCGGCACCGTACACGCTCCACATTGGATCCTTCAAAGTCACTACCTTTCACATATTTTTTCAGTATAGCGAAAATCTGCGAGTTCAATACTTGAAAACGTCTTTTACGCACTTCATCTTTGAGCATTTCTTCGTGTATACCAAAATGTGCATGTGAATCAAAGTAATAATCGCGGGAAGTCATTTCCTTCGCCAGAGTAGCGCCTTCTGTCTCATTATTGGGTTTTTTCATTATGTTAATATTTGCACAATGTCGTATTAGCCGCAATTTCATAAACAAACATGTATAATGTTTGCTAATGTAACGCTATTAAGGGTATTTTCAGACAATTTATTTCTCGTTAAAGGAGACTTGTACTTTCCAGTCTCAATTTTTATAATATTTGCTATTTCGAGTAAAGAGAAACGGAGAAAAATAAGAATAATCTAAACAATAAAGAAAATGTGTAAATTTTGCGGGATAGTTTAAAGATCTTTAAACGTTGCAAAAGCAATTAAGTGATCAGTACGTAAAAGTATACAAAGTACAAAAGTAATAATTACGAGGAAATATAACAGATTGCGCATGTAAGGAGTATTTTGTTCTATTTTAGTGAAACAGTTTACACATGAAAAAATTGTGTAATTTTATTATAGTTTACCATCGGTTCTTTTAACAAATAGCCTTCAACTTCTTTCTATAAAAGCACATAATACTTATTTGGTAAGTGAGAAAAGCTACACTCTTCTCATCGAGTGCTATTTATACTTAAAACATTTTTGAAAGACTTTGCGATAATAGTAGGATATTATGTAAATAGTGCAGCAACAGTTTTTATATCTTACCAATTTTTTGAAAAGCTTTAGGTAAGAATAGCCGGCTTGTTGCGTTATGCAAATTATTGGTATTTTTTCTTGACATAAATTCAAGCTGGGCGATGCCGATATTGTTTCTGGCAAAAATAGCTAGATAGGAATAAGAAAGTTTCTATATGTAATTGTAAAACTAGAGTCTTTAGAAGCATTATCACCGTGAAATTCCTTTTTCCAATGCAATACAATACTGCACTTCTTCTTTTATACTTTTTATATTTCTGAGGGAAAATTTTGCATCGAAATATGTGTAGAGATCCCCGTTAAGTAAATTCTTAAGACGGCGAACTTAGGAAAACCGCCCAATCAATTTAGCCTTTTATTGTTTAGACCAATGAAAATAAAAACAAAAAAATCCGCATTACGACACTACACATAGTACAAAAGCTGCCTGAAGATTCAATTAAAACTGAACATAATTTATTATCAAAGGTGAAAGTACGGCAAACTGATTAAGCAAATAAGGAATTGAGGAAGAGTGGTACTCATTTTTTTGGGCCTACTAAGTAATCGGAATTCTAAAATCAGCTTTTACTATGGCCACGTGCTCGAATTAGTTCAAGAGATATGTCCGCAACATTGATTTTATGTATTTCCTTAAAGTCTATGATCGCTCATCTTAAATGTTGACATTGCTCCTTTATACAGAATGATATCAAGTTTTGAAACATTGAAGAATTAAAGAATTTTTTTATAAGTTTGATATTCTTATTAAATTGGAAAAGCAAGTATTCTTCTTTAGTTAAGCGGATAACAAATCGCCACATTTTTTTAATGATTACAACGTGTTGACAACACAAGCATATACATAAAGCATAAGAACATAGGAAGCAGTAGAAAAATATGCAAAACAAATTAAGGAAATTGGTAATGGGAGAATAACAAAGAGATTGAGTGAGTGCAGTTATATATATAGGTAAGGGCTGAAAGAGATAGAGAGACAAAGAGAGCTAAAAAGGAAAAGAGCAGAAATGAGAGTAATTGTCTGAAAAAGACCGCAAATATCATAGCATGATAGGGAAGGCGGCGCAAGTTAAAACAGAAGCATTTTGTGTGTGTTCTCGCGACGAAGAAATTTTTCTTCTGCCGACAAAAGTTTACAAATTAAATCCTTTGTGTAAATAATTGTATAAAATCTAAATATATATATATATATATATTTATATACATGTACATATGCATGTATACGTATGTATATGCATAAGAAAAGTTCATAGAAAAATATTTGTGTCTAAATTGTGTAAAAGAATATATAACCAATCAACTCTGTATAACATAAAAAAGAAAAAAAAAATTCTTTTTGTATGCGTGCTTTTGAAACAAAAAAAAAATAAAATAAAATATATATATATATATATGTGTGAGTTGGTTACTACCATTTAGCCATCACGGAAAAAACTTTGTCACCTAATTCAATTATTTGTACAGAAATTCTACGCTTGTAAAACATTGCTGTAAAGTGAAACATATACATGTACAACGGCGTTCTCTTGTCCACACATATATATATATATATATATTTATATATTATACGCGTTTAGTTTAAAACAAATTCCTGTGTAAATTATTTTCATAGTCATCGCAAACTACAAACAAAATCAACTCATCATCTCTTCGTCGTGCTCGGTTCCGTGTGCATTAATCATATTTGATCAGTGACTGACTATATAACCGATAAATCACTTTACTTCAAAGAAGAATAATACAAACAAAAAAAAAAATAAATAAAGAAAAAAAAAAACGGTAAAAATCAATGATTTTCTTAATTCAAATAACTTTAAAAATATTTCTATTAAAAGAAAAATAATTTTTTTTTTTTAATGAGGATTTCAGCTTGAAGATGAGCAGAATTTATGAATTTCGAAATTATTTTACTTTTTTTTTTGCTGCAATAATTGTAATTTTTCTTATTTTGTTTTTTTTATCGTAATTTATTTAAACTTATTTACTTGTATCTTTATTCCTCTCTAAATATATATATACATATATATATTAATAGCATATTTATTTATATGTGAAATTTTTCATTTTCTTTATAGAATTATATTGTCCGCAGTCCATCATTATCCTCTCTTTTCGTTGGTGTTATTTTCTTTTTTACTTTGCTAAGCTCATTTCTTCTTTGTTTCTTATTCTCTCTTTCTTTCTCTCTCCTTTTTCCTTCCCTCTCGCAATATATGTTTCTTCCTTATTACAGTCGTTGACATTAGTTGCTTTCATAAATTATCTTTCCTTTTATTTTCGTCGTCTGCAAATGTGCGTGTTTTTCTACTGTTATGTCGCGTTCTTCATTAGCGGTTGATGGTTATACGTTTAAGATTCGCTTTTGTTTGAGACGTCTTATTTGCCGATCAGAACTTGTTTTTTTTTTCTTTCCTTTCTTTTGCGGTATCCTTGTTTGGTTAGTTTCTGTATTTTAAGTAAATTTCTCATCTTTGCTGTGTTATATAATTTCGTTACACAGTATGTTTTTGTAACGTCTGCTTTCTACGCGCATTTTATTTCGTTTATTGTTGTCTTTTGTACACCATGTGCTTAATTTTTGTGTGGTTTTTCTTAATTCATTTTTGTTTTTGTACACTGTCTCGCTCTTTATTTGTTCGTATCTTTATGCTCTCTGTTCTCACGCTTTTTTCTTCGCTTTTTTTTTTTCTTTACTTTTATTAGGACTCGCATTTCTTTAAAAAGTTCTATTGTTGTGTATTGCTTTATAAACTACCACTAAAGGATGTAAACAGATTGCTTTGTCATTCCGTTGGTAACAGCTGTAGATTGCATTCAGAGAGCATCTGTACTCGCATGTACATTGAATTACTGCGACATTTATGTAGTCAATTTGCCATATTCTGCTTGCACAAAATGTTTATAGAACTTCAGCGATAGATGCATATATATAGAAGTACAATTCTTGTCATTAAATGTTGCAATCACATTGTCTTGTCGTTCCATTTGAAAGTGAGACTGTACAATGCCATATGTACCGATTTGATTCCTCAGACTTCAAATTCATTAATTTGTACCTAATACATACATGACAAATGCAGAAATTTAAGACTGACGCGCTTAAAATAGGGAATTAATATAGTTCCTTGTTCCTATGTTATTACCAGAGATATTTGCCCGACTGTTGTAGTAATTGGACAAACCCAACGGAGATGTCATACCTTATATCCGCATGTGCAAATCAATTTCAGATTCAGTGTCAATTCATCTATGCCTGCGCGGATGAAGCCGAATTTGATCTACGTAGCTACAATTCGAAGTAAATCAAGACCTGTTGTTACCTTCTAAGGGATAAAACCGGTTTGCCCTGCGCTGTGCCATTGACGACAGTCACTGACGCATATGGCAGAATTAACTTTTTTGTTTTAAATACATAGAAGAAGATCGGATCAGAATATCGGCAAAAGTTTTATATTGTATCATAACCTTGGTGGAAATATACATATGTCTTAAGCATATGTGCTTATGCATATGTATATATTTATGCATATGATCTATCCATACACAAATATATATAAAATGTGTAGGTATATATATGTATAAAATTAAGTGTAATTTATGCATATATAATATAAATATGTAACAAATTATATAAATATATTTACTTATGTTTGTTATATATATATATACATACCCATGTATGCGGGCGGGAAAAGTATATATAACAATTCTTCCTCACCGAATGTGGTATTTTCTTTTTCTTCAAACAGTAGCGCCATGTTTCAACTCCAAATCATATAGTCATAAAAATTGTCCGACATAAACATGCTTAATTCACGCTCAACCGTTCGGTTTTATTTTTGATATACAAGACGGTGATATAGTGTTTCATTTCAAGATTTTTCACCCTTTTAGGGGAACATTTTGCGAGCATAGAAATTTCAATAGCAATCACATTGAGTCGTATTCAACCCTCGTTGCAGCCATGCGTCAGTTGCAAATCAAATCAAACAAAAAAAAAAAAAAGGAAAAAAAATGAAAAAACAAAATGAGATACAAACGCTTATTTGATTGATTGTTTTCCATATTTTGCGAGTTTTATTGAACAATTACATCGAATAAACCGAGAAGCTGTAAAAGAACTTGCTCTCGTCGGCTTCAAAAGATTTTAATTAATTTGTTGGCTGCGTCTATGCGGTACTATTAATAATATTTTTAATGTAGTCATTGATTTGCTTATTAAATAATAAATGCAAACGTTCTGGTAGTAGTTTTACAATCTCAACGGTTTTTGGATAAAATTCAACTACACTATAAACTCTCGATGCTTTTGCAGCCTGCATAATACTAAGGTCTGCATTATAATCAGCTGATTCGCTCACTTTTTATATTCACTTTGTAAATATTGTTTGATTGATTACATTTAAATAGACCTTTTAGGAATTTATTATCATAACAACCCTGCATTTTGCAGAATTTCTCCTCTTGTTCTGTAATCATCATCGTTGTATTTGTTATTTTCAATTTAGTTCTTCTTCTTTTCAAATGTAATTTTATTTATCTTCCTAAATTTTATTCAAAGAATTAATATTATTCAATTTCTTTTCTTCTTTTCATTGCAGTGTAAATTCGTTCCGAGTTTTGTACAAAATATTTTCTACCATAATCTCACACACACATATACATATATATACATACACACACGCATCTTTATACGTAAATGTAAAGCAGTTAATATTATCTCTGTATAAAAATTATTTAAGAATATTGTAAATTTTTCACCGTATGCACTGAACATTCACTAATCATAACGGTTTCTTATGGAATTCTTAACTCTAAAGTGAGACGCGAAATTGCCCTCTATTCTCGCGTTATCGTATTCGATTATGTATTAAATAAAAATTCGTGAAAACGTTTCCGTGTATAAATTTATTTCTAAGTTATTTTGTTTCCGAAAAAGACTGAATTTCAAACTCGTCGTATCGTAAATCGCGTGCGCATCGTCGTCATCGTCTACGAACTTAATTCAAAATTGTGTTTGTGTGTGTGCAAATTGAAAAAAGAAAAAGCAAAAAAATTACAAATAAGAGAAATTGCATTATAATTCGTTAGAGCGTTCGCTAAATCGTCCGTCGCTCTTTTCGAAAGATTTCAAATTGTCGAAAGTGTAGTGATTACACAGTACGCCGTTGCAATAAGCAACAGCATTTGTTTTATTTTTTTGTGAAAAGTGTTTTAAGAAACGGCCTCAAAATAGAGCTGCTACCGACACCCACAATTTCCTTCGCCCCCATCGAGCCTACTGCGTCTTCGCACTACTCGCCCTTCTATCAATCACCGCCCGCATTGCAATCGTCGCATCATCAAACCCAACCGCATAACTTTCTGCTAACACCACCACTGTCATCTATAGCACCAACGTCTTCGTCTGCTGCGAGTTCCGGTACTATAGTAGCGCCTCAGACAACGAATAATTTCCAAGAGCCACATATGAAGTTATTAGGCAGCAGCGATGATCGAAATGTTCGCGGTGGTGATCAAACGGTGCAGCGCACTGTTGATGATGCCTCGGCAGCGGTTGGTTACGTATTCCAGCGTCCATCGACGGGCGGCGTAGCTCCGGGCAGTGGCGTAGGCGGTGTGCCATCCAGTCATGATGCGGCTGCGGCCGAATATGCTGCGCAGTTTGCTCAAAAGCAATCTCGTTGGGCTTGTGGCGACGATCATACTATCGATGTAAGTAAAAACAAGAAAAAGAAAAGCAAAAGAAACAAAGAAAATTACACTGATTTTTTTTATTAGAAAATTGGATAGAGAGGCAGGCTTGAAGAAAAAAAGAGCTTACGTACACAAACTTAATTGCACCGGCTTTTATGAATTTTTAGTCATTTCAATAAGACGATCGTCTATGTCATACGTAAACTGAAAAAGTTATACTTCCGATTTTAAATAAACGCAAGATGAAGTCGAAAATGTTAAGAAAATTAGTGCCTTTTAGAAGACAGGAGATGTAAGACGTTGCTGTTCTTTCTTTGTTTGCAAGAATTTGCAAGAATATTCTTTTGATTCTATTTAACTTTTGCTCTCTTCCCTTTTTTTCTTACGCATTCCAATCCTTGCCCTACTTTCGTGCTCCATTATGTGCACAGTGGTGGTGTTTGGTCAAAGCAAGCATTTTGGCTTATTGACTGAAACGCAACTGTTGTTGTTGTTTTAAGGCGCAATATTGTTAGTTTATTATCCTAGATTGCATCAAAATTTATTTGCGGAGCTGACTGGGTTGTCTGGAGTGCGTTAGCTAAGAGCAGAAAAAAAAAAAGTAAAAAGGAGTGGTGAAAACCAGAACATAAGGCCGGAGAAGATATATTAATAAATTCCATTGCTTTCAGATTGTTTAGGTACGTGCTTTGGTGAATTCCTCTAAAATTTTTCACTGCAATGCAGGATATTAAAAGAACATTAATTACGTGGCGAAATTATTTGCTGCGAGGATAAGAAAACGTAACCAACTAACGTGGCACGTGGTATTGTTTGCTACAACAAAATATAGGCCGATGCACTAAATTATTTTTAAATGCCTTCAAACATCATGTTCAGGTCAAAAAGAAATTCCAAAATAATGAAGTTTATACTTGACTCGATCGGAATATAACGAGAAATCGTTATTATTAGGTGTTTGCGAAAATTTTGATCACTTGAAAAAGGCATTCATTGTGGAAAATTGATACAATAATCAAAGCAGTTTCCATCATTTTCTACAACATTTTACAATATCTTTGGCCAATTGCCGATATCATGTCGAAACAACTTATATTAGATTGGCCGCGATCTACCCGCTAACTCATTTTCGCGCTTCTTCAACTTTGCGATTTGCTGTTTATATCGTCTATTTATATTTTCTTTTTCCTCCTAAACGTCATAACTTTACTGTATTATTAAGTGCCTAGATAGAGTTTTTTCTTTCTTTTTTTCCCCATTTTCTTTTTTATACAAAAACTATTTTTCATTCGCTATTTTAGAACCCTGATAAATGGAAATACAATCCACCAATGAATCCCGCCAATGCGGCGCCTGGAGCACCACCTGGTGGTGGCCCTGGGACTATCGGACCCATTGGCATGGGGACTGGTATGGGTGGCATAGGGAGTAATGGCGGGCTTCATCCCTCGATGGGCGGACCTAATCAAATGGGAAATTCAGCTGCTGCAGCGGCTGCGGCTGCAGCAGGCATGGCTGCAATGCAGCAAGCAGCCGCCGTTGCAAAGCATACTCAAATGATGTCGCAAGTAGCGGCTGTAGCTGCTGCTCAACAACAGCACCATCAACAACAACAACAACAGCAGCAGCAGCAACAACAACAACATCAGCAACAGCAACAACAGCAGCAACAACCACCACATCCAGCACATCAGCAACCACCGCATCCCCAACATCAGCAGCATGGTCCACCCCATCCTTCGCAAATGTCATCGCATCAATTTAATTCCAATTTGCTAAATCACGCTATGAACAATCCGGCCGCTGCGGCAGCTGCAGCTGCAGCTATTGCGGCCGGTATGCCGCACATGCAATTGCCACCAGCTATGCAGAGTGGCAATATTTATGATCATCCCGGCGTTCATCCGGGTGTAGGAATGAATGGAGTAGGTGTTCCAAAACCGCCCCAACCTGGACAACCAGGTCCCGGCGAATTGGTATATTTAGGCGGACAACCCCATGCAGCGGCTGCAGCCGCTTTGGGCATGATGCCACAAAATCAATTTCTAAGTAATCAAGCAGCTGCCGCAGCTGCGGCTGCTAATCGCAATGCTGCAGCGGTAAGTTTCGCTTATTCAACTATTATCTAGCTTAATATTGTATGTTCTTTGTCATATTGATACGTTGGCGAATTAATTGTAAACTTATTGCCATGATTTATATTTAGGCGTTACGGGGCGGTGACGGTAGGGTAATAATTCAAGTCTTTGTGAGTTTCACGTAAATGCATTTTTTTGAAAACACCATTAATACCGGTTGGCCATTAGAGAGAATGCCTGCTTTTTGATATCTACCCCTTTGTCTGAGGAAATCTGTTGCTTTCAAAAATATTTCATTAACAAGAGGCTCCACAAAATCCATACACGTACACATTGTATACGAAGTAGTATTTAAACAGAAGTCTAAAGATTGAAAAACTTTAGAAACAGTCTTCACTTGCATAAACATAAAAACACGACACACGCACAGGTTGTCGTTTAACAGTTGTGAGGGTAGATATGATATATATGGAAAGAGGAAAAAGACAGAAAGGGAAATAGAAGATAGAAAAAAGATTAGGTAGTAATAAAAAGAAAGAAAGTCCGTTGGTAACGCACGTAACGTATTCAGTCGACAAACTAACGTCGTTTTCTTTGGTTAAAAAGAGATGCCGCACTGTTGAATCGGATATATTGCGGATATTGGGATAACTTTAAAACATGGCAAATATGTATCCATGTTTTGTATGCGTAGATGTGCCTTTAAATATGTATTCGTTTTGAGTTATGAGTTACCAGAAATATGGAAAATAAATATATTTGAATCTGGTTGTATATGTGCCCGCCTGTTGGAAATATAGAAAAAGCTATATCTTTGCAAATATTTGCTCCATAAACAGCCAATCCGCCTACGGAAGGGGATGACAAAGTCAGTGTTCGCGAGTTCAAATCCCAAATGCAATAAAGTTTTCTTTGGTCGTAGCTATACCTAGTGCTCATAGGTGCACACACCCCCTACCACCGCCCTATTTCTTTCTCTGTCGTTTCTTCTTTCTGATAGTTACCGCGCTACACAAATAGGGAGCATCCCATGAGTGACTAGTGACTAGTGAAGATTGATATAATCAACCACACGATCTTAAGTTATGACATTTATTACACCATTTACGGTTCGTACACCACTTTGCTTGAAAAATTTGCTCAAGCACTCAGGAGATCTTGGTGGGTGCGTACCCAGTCGATCAGTATTCTGCCGACTAAGCACTTACTACAGCTACGACTGAAAAAAACCCTAACGCACTTGAAATTTGAACCCACGAAGTTATCCATACCTGAAAATTGGAGAAATTTTAGTGCGACGAATTTATTTGTACACCTAATGTATAAATTCGCTTCGAAGTATGGTCATTAATAATTGTATAGGGGAAGAGAAAATTAGTTCCCCGAAAAAATTCTACTTACACTGCACCCCGTAAGATGCGAATAAAACACTGTAGTTAGTTGTAGGCGAATATTTTTCAAGGTTCGTTTTCAAAGCCATTTTTTTTGACCAAATTGAGAGAATCATTGTCTCCGGCATGGTCTTAACGAAATGTAATATTTAAGGAATCGTATATCGTATTATGGCGAATATAATTCACATGGTGAAAATTCACACCTAGCGGGAAACTGAGATCTTGATACGTTTTAGTGAACGTGAAAGGAATCTAAAATTCGCGCTTTGAGTAAATATAACCGTCTTACTTTTGGAAGTGATCTAAGGGAACAGAAAAGAAAAATGGTATAATTTTGCTCGGAAATATACAGAGACGTACACTGAAAATAAATACTGAACGTATTTACTTCGACAACTATGTATGCTCTTATCTCTATGTTATACAGTAAATAATTTTAGTAGCATGCTAGCGTATAATCATAGACATCCACTTAAATGGCCAACTGTATAGACGCAAAATTGTACTTATGTGCTCGTTTTCTGTTTCTTCCACTGCATTTCAGGTATTTTAAGAGCCTCGTAAAGCAGCAGCAGCAACCAGCAACTTCTATTACACTGTAATGGAATTTTCAATGCACTTCTTCTTGTTTGTCGTTCGCTGTCATAGAATGTTCGCCTTGAATTTTAAAGTTTTCTGGCCTGTATTTTCAAGAGAGTTGCTGTGCGAGAGTTTTGTGTTGTTCCCTTTTAAAGTGTTTACAACTGAAACGTGTTTTTCTTTCTTTTATTTATTTATTTATTTATTTATTTTTTTATTACACTTTTTTGCTTCTAAATGGTGCACATCTTATGCTTACATCGGCTATTAAGTTAAATTTAAGTACATATGTGAATATTTGATGCACGTTTTTCTTTGGAGTTATTTAACGTCGCAAAACTTCTAATTCTTATACAAATCATTTGGTAATGCAATGCCACCCGGAAATGTTTGTGTGGAATATTACATAAAATAGAATTTTTGATTAGTTAGTAATGTCTGCTTACGTTAATGATATCTATAGAGTCAAGAATATTGAAGACAAAGAGGAAAATTATCCATGTTATGAAATTTTAAGGTGAGCCGTTATAGGGTCAATAAGGCACGTCGATATGCTACATCCTACATGACCTGTAGGTTAAACATGAGACAATCAGAAAGTGCTTCCGATCGATACAATAAAAGGTGAGTCAGTCTCAAGTCCCTACCAGCTTAATAAAGCGCCTCTTTACTTGGAGAATTAGGAAAGGCTTTTTAAAAATTTTCATTTTTATATCATTAACGAAAGTATGAACGGAAAAGTGTAATTTTTGGGAAGTTCATCTTTAATTAGCAATTAATGTTTAGATGAAGTCATCGATAATCCCGCTCTTAACTAAGTCTTTTGAAAATACAATAAATGGATGATGGAATTATGTGGCGTGTTCGGTTGAAAAGTTGTGTTTCGAAAGAAAAGCTTGAAGAGCATGTGTGCTCTTGTACAAGTTTGTTATAAAGAGTACCTTTTTTGATTATTTAAAATTTCTCTACACCAACAATTACTTCTTTATATCATTCTTGACTATTCAAAGCGTAATTTAAGCCAATAAATTGCAATATTTTTAGTGCAAAAACTAGTTCACGTGGGATTGCCGTACTTTATTTTGAACGGGGTTGCCACATATGAAAATTTTTTGGTGTAAGCTTTATGGAAGACAGCTTTTATAATTGCTGTAGTATAGAATTGCAAAGTCCACATGGCGCCTGTTTCTCGGCCCACATATCGATATATTCCTATATAAATATATACATATTTATATAGATTTATATTTATATAGATATATATTTTATATCTTTATCTATATATATATATATATATATATATATATATATATGTTGTATATATATGTATATTATTTGTTGTATATATAATTATTATTTATTTATATAAATAATAAGGCTCATGGCCCACCTGCGTAAGACCAATTGAAACGATTCCGATTAAGGAAATAAATTACAATTTCTGATTGTCCATTTTTCTTCTCTTTTATTTAATACGGAACATACAAGTTAACTTATTTATATATATAATACTATTATCTTTGTCCACTAACTCATGCTCTATACAGTTTCCCGTGCCCGATGTGGCACAAAAGCCGCTTGATATGGTCTATTGGCATTTTATTACAATATTTTAAAGTTATTATCAAGAATCGTATGAGTGATTGAGTCTCATTTCCATTCAAATATTTATTGGAAATAATTCCGCAGAAATAGTTTACGATAAATAGTTTGACACAGATAGACAGACGAGAAAATAAACTTGCTTTTTCCTAATACACTACTAGATGTTATAATCTATATATTATTTGTCGATCGCTAGCAGCAATCTTATATTTCCCAAGCTTCAGAAAAAAGGTTGAATTTTGATATTTTATAAAATTTTTCGATACACTATAGAGTTCAACTTTGAAAAGTCGCACAAGTCGAAGCCTTAATAAAAGACCAACATTTTCCGTTCGGTTTCATCCCATAATCCAGATAAGGGAAGACATTTTAGGCAGAGATATTACCAGGACCGACCCAAAATTCTAACGTAAAAAAATTCCTTGTTATGTCCACCGAAAGCTTAATATGATGAAAACTTTAGAGAGATTCTTTTACTTTTTAGTTCGTGGACGCACATGGGAATTGTTTATTGTTGATCTATGGCTCCTTTCAGACACACGAATATTAATCGCTTTTATTTGCATTTGCTTGAATGAAGTTTTGTTATATAAACGTTTCACATAAAACTTTTAATTCAAAAATTTTTTTTTTATAAATTTATGTATTTTTGTTTATTCTTTAAAATTCTTTCGTTGCTTTTTATTATTTTTTCACAAGCTTCGTTTGCTCTCTTTTCCCCAATTGTGTTATCAAGAATTTGGTTTAAGCGTTTCGTAGTTTCAAACTCACCTCATGTTAAGAGATCTCAATCGAGCTCGAGGAGGAGTATATTGCTGAACCATTCATTTCTTTTCGTTGTTGTTGTTTCTTATTATTATTATTGTTATTATTTCTTGTTGCTCTATTGTAATGTTTCTCATGCCAAAGCCATAAAAATTTATATTGTACAACACTACTGAAACGCGCACACAGTACCGGGCTCGATAAACATGTGCTCGCCATGTCGTATTGTCTCTGCGCGTACGTGAATGTGTACGTTATACTTTTCATTTTCTTTATCTTCTCTTACATATACATTCATATATAAATTCGCTGTGCGTTGCTTTTGTTTTGTCGTCTTCTTCTGCAATCGTCATGATATCGTAAGTCGTGCCAAAGAAATTGTTTTTTTATTTTTTGTTTTCATTTTTTTTTTTTTTTTTTTCTTACAGAGAGATTTTCTCTGATTTCAATGACTCTGACTCAGTATTTGTATAAAAGACGACAACGACGACGACGCTTCTTTTTAGTGCCCTAGTCCTCGGTTCTTCGTTTTGATTATTTAGCTCACGAATATTGTGCTTATGTGATTCGTTTGTTGTTGTTTATTACTCATATTTTCCAAATACAGGCAGTAAAGGTATACTAAAGTTTTCAATGTTTTTGTAACACTCGGAGATTGGGTTTCAATCGGTTCTTTTG